ACCCAGTATTCTGCCCTGGTATAATTCAGAGACTTCCCAAGGCTTTAATGGACTGGCCCTAGTAATGGAATGACTTGTAGTACCTTGTTTCTATAGGAACAATGTTTTGGTCTTCAAGCTGTCTTATAATTAAACCTTCAATTTTTACCATTTGGGGACTACTTGTGTAGGCAAACAATTCTAGTTTTTTTGGTTATTTATGCTGTAATGTATGCAGCTGCAGTGTTGATTTTTCCGTTCTCTGATACAAGTCAAAGGTATGGCTCCAAAAATGTGGTTGAAATTTTTGTTTCTTTGGCCAGATTTAGAAAATCTATGGAAATAAATATAGAAATATTTTAATAGATTGATTTTCAAAGTGTTTGTTCTTAAAAGTAAAGGATTCCCTCTATAAACTATTGTACTGTGTATTATAAACCATGAAAGTATGAAAAATTAAACTGACTTGAAAGTTGTTAAAAATAAAAAATAAAAGATGATTGAGGTTTCATTGTTGAAGTAAAGGGGAATACAGAAATTAAGCAATAAAAGGATAAAATGCCTAGCTTTTAAAATACTGTAATGACTATGAGCTCATCATCACCATCATCATCATTACCATTAGCTATTGTTAGCATTAGAAATACTTAATTTTTTTAAAGCAGGAAAGAGCTCTTAGGGCCAGTCCTTTTGTAAAATAAACTTATACAGGCTTTATTTTGTTTAATAAATGAAACTTCAGGCTGAAACCCAAATTTCCACGTGTACAACATGCAAAGTTAGGTTTTTTTGTTTTTTTGTTTTTTTGTTTTTTGATACTGGGGATCAAACTTGGGACCTTGTGCTTGCAAGGCAGGTGGCAGAACCACTGAGCTAAATCCCTGGCCTGCAAAGTTAGTTTTACCCACAGCCATCTCAGAGAAATTATCTTTCTGTGTCTATTAGAATGCCTTCAGCTGGAAAATAACTAAAGCCCCCAACTGAAAATGGCTTCAGTAATAAGTACATTTTGTTATATCATATAACCAAGAAGATCGGATTTTACAGATGCTTTGTGTTGGAGCTAACTGCTGTCATTAGACCCTGGTTCTTTCTCTCTTTCCATTCTGAAGCCTTGTATACTTTTGTCTTCAGACTTTTCCCTTCCTTATCTCAGGACAGCAGCTTTAGCTCTAAGAATTTCATCTTAGTATCAAAGGACTCAAGATTTTAAGGCAAGAGGGTGACTCTCATGTGTTAAAGAGTGAAGATAACTTTTTTAGAAGACTTCTGAAAGACCTGATGTCACTAGCCAAAATTGCATCTCATACCCACTTTTAAGGGCCTTGGGGTTTAGAAGTGCTGTGTTTGGCTTAGAGTAATCAAGATTCGTGGGCTGCCACTCCTCCGATTGGGCAAAATTAGGGTGCTCTTATCTTGGTAACCTTCAAAGGTAGTTTACTGCCAGGTTCTTAATCCCTTTGACTTCTTGAGGGACCCTGTTCTGATAATCATTTCTTCTGGACTTCATTTTCAATCTCCTCACTGTTTTATTTCAAACTTGGATTTTGTTCTCCCTAATGGTAAACCTCCCTTTCTGATGTTGCCAGTGGCCACCTGATTGCCCAATTCTTTGTCATTTTTTGTTGTTGATTTTCTCATCTTTCTATTCTCTGTTTCATTTCTTTGTACTTTATTATTCCCCTCCTTCTGCTGGTTTAGGACTAGTTTACTCTTCCTTTTTTAGGTTCTGTCTTTTTTAGGTAAATAAGATTATTGATTTGAGAACCTTTCTTTTTTAATATAGGCATTTATTATAGCTATAAATTTCCCTGTAAGTACTACTGTTTTTAGCTGCATTCTCTAAGTTTGTGTATGTTGTGTTTTTAAAAGTTTTCATTCTTCTCAAGGCATTTTTTTCATTTCTGTTATGATTTCTTCTTTAATCCATTGGTTATTGTGATGGCTAATCTTGATTGTCAGATTGATTGGTTTATGAGATGCCTAGAGAGGTGATTTGATCCTGAGGGTATAATGTCATCAATGGATTTGCCCATTGGTGAGTTCATAGCTAAATGGGCTCTTAAGAGGTGGGCTGGAGTTGGAGGAAGTAGGTCCCTGGGGGCATGACTTTGAATGGCATAACTTTTCTCAGGCTCTTTCTGTCTGTCTGCTTTCTGCTTGCCACAAAGTGAGCAACTTTCATCTGCTTTGTCCTTCTGCTGTGGTGATGTTTCTACCTTGCCACAAGCCTACAATCAGTGGAGCTAGCTGACCATGGACTAAAACCTCTGAAACTGAGCTAAAATAAATCTTTCCTCCTTTAAGCTGTTTATGTCTTGTATTTTGGTCACAGTGATGAAAAGCTAATCAGTACAGCTACTTAAGAGTGTGTTGTTTCGTTTCTCGCCTTTTGGTGAATTTTCCCAAATTTCTTCTGTTACTGATTTCCAGTTACATTCTGTTGTTTTTAGAAAACATTCCTTGCATGATTTTAATCCCTTCAAATTATTGAGGGTTATTTGTGGTCTAGCACATGATCTGATTTAGAGAATGTTTCATGGGTACTTGAGAAGAATGTCTATTTTGTTACTTTTGGGTGGAGTGTTACACAAATGTAGGCCTAGCTGGCTCATAATGTTCAAATCTTCTGTGTCCTCGTTGATTTTCATCTGTGTTTTTTTTAATATGAAAAGGGGATATTGATGTCTCTATTATTTTTAAATTATTTGTTCTTTTAACTCTTTCTCCCTGTTGTTGGGTACATATATAACAGTAAAGAAAACAGTAAAGGAAGAAAAGAACAACAGAAAGGAGGCCCACAGAAAATGAAAGACAAAGTGATAGATGTAAATCCAGCTACATCAGTAGTTTCTTGTAATGTGAACCTCAAAATCAGTGTGCAGAGAGCTTTCGCAGTCATTCAGTGAATGAACGACTACAAATGGTACGGAGTAGTGAAAAGTGTGCATTGCTTAACACACATGTTCCCAGATGAACACATGCTCGGCCTTCTTTCAGCTCTCTCATACGAAAGACGTGCCCTTTTTGTGGCCTGTTTAGGGTCATGTGTTTTGCATTCTTGTGCTTCTTGTTGGGGACTTTGCTGTTTAAAATGACTATGAGGTGTAGAACTGAAGTGCTGTATGCTGTTCCTGAGTGCAGGAAGGCTGTGATGTGCTTTGCAGAGAAAATACATGTGGTGGGTAAGCTTCATTTAGACCCGAGTAACAGTGCTGTTGACTGTGAGCCCAGTATTTGTGAATCAACAGTCTATATTAAATAACATTCTAAACCTAAGCGTACATAAAGGGTACTTTTTGTCAGTTGATGAAAATGTTACCAGAGACTCTTAGGAACCCACCTAGGAGCAGTCGTTGGGCATTTGCTAATTTAGTGTTTATGGTAACTTTATAGAACTTAACTAATTTTGAATAATGAGAACTGACTGTAATTTTACCTGTGTGTTGAACATTTAAACTGAATTTAAGTAGTGGTCACAGCAACATTAGGTGTTTCATGTTCTATAGCTTGAACTTCCAATAACTTTACAGTGGAACTTTGACTTAATGAACTCGATGGGTTCCCAAGGGCTGGTTGTAACTAAGTCAGAGAGCTGAGATCTGGCTGTTTACCTGGGTACACGCTATAGATAACAAGAGGCAGGTGAATCTTCCATTAACCTAATTAACTCAAGTTGTTCGTATATCAGGCTGGTCTTAACTTGAGGGTCCACTGAACTTTGTTTTCATGCATTGGATGAAACAGTAAAACCATTATTGAAATTAACTGATTTTTTTTTCTTTTTTTCTTTTTTTTTTTGGTACCGGAGATTGAACTCCAGGACTTGCGCTTGTGCATTAGGTGTTGAAACCACTGAGCAAAATCCCTGGCTCGAAATTAACTGATTTTTCTATCTGACACATCTCCTGATACTGAGAGCTGGTATCAGACTGAATTTCTTTTGCTGGTGGAGCCATCAGAATAACAGTTATCACTTTACTTTGAGTATGAAAATAATAGGGCAGTTTTGAATCAGAGCTGAGTTTTAAAGTCACTTGATTTAGATTAGAAATCCTGCTTTAGAGAATAATGTGTAAAATATGTCTACTCTGGGAGGCTGAAGCAGAAAGATTGCAAGTTGGAGCCCAGCCTGAGCAACTTAGTGACTTAGTGAGACCTTGTCTCAAAGTAAAAAAACAAAACGGCTGAGGACATAGCTCAGTGTGAGGGCCCAGAGGGCAGTCCTCAGTACAAAGCATCTTCCCTGTCTGCTCTTGTTAAATTTGTGTCTTTGAGCTAGTCCTACAAGGTGGGTATTTCTTTTGCTCCCTTTTCTGTAGGTGGGCTGGGTACTGGCGCTGAGCATGAGGTGTAAGTTACAGTGTGTACAGAGGTGGGCTGCTCCTAGGGGTCATTCAGATTTTACCACTCAGGAGGTGGACACCTGGCTTCACTGCCTGTACAACTCTCGCATGGCTGCGTGAGATCACAACAGAGTCTGAATTGAGTTACAAGTAAGTCCCAGATGTTTTTAATGCTACCGTAAAGAAATTGGAAAATGAAAAATCTAGGACAAATGGGAAATTGGGTAGGACACTGGGACAGTGGCATACATTGAGCCTGTCTCTGGGAAACTGACACACATGGGCACTTCAATAGACATATGTCCTTTCAGAGATCACTATTTTCCAATCACAAAGGCTACCCTCAAGATGATTCATTTGTTTGAGACTATTTAGTAATTTCCACAGCATTATGCACACACAAAAGAATGTAAAGCATATTCCTTAGCCACTTTTATTCACTGTAGCATTTCTTTATTTTGAGAACATTCTCTAATCATGTTAAACTTTTAATTAATTTCAAATGCTTTTGCTTTTAAACTAAATAATGGTAATAAACTATGCAATTATTTTCCCTTAGTTCTTTTGTTATATGAATACAAATATCATACAGTAATTTAAAATGAAAGTTTTTATATATACACAATAAAAGTGGATTATCTGGCTATGATTATAATACTTTATATTCTTTTACAGAATTTATTAGAATTGCCATATATCTTATGCATACAAGAACCTTGGGAAATAGGTAAGTAACAGTCATTTTTTGAAATGATATTTCTGGTACTTTAAGTAATTTGATCTCGGATTCTTGGCAGAATAGGCAGTGGGGTATATCTTCAGTTACTTCTTTTTCTCTTAAATAAAACAGTGGAAACTTTTTCCTGATATCCAATAGTGTATTTTCCAGGAAATTTTAGGTTTATTTCCTAAAATAACTGTAATAAAGGTATTATTAATAGGACATAGAACTGTGGCATATACAAAAACTTAAAAAGCATTTAAAAAGAAAACCACTGAATACAGTGTATTACCTTGCTTGTACCTAAAAACTGAAAAAAGTTGTTAACAAAAAACAGGTAAAGTGTATAATTTGATTCATAATAATATATCAACTTTAATTTTTATGTTTTGACAAACGTGTGATTATATAAGATATTAATTTTAGAGAAAATGGGTTGAAGTATATGCAGAAACTAATTTTATAAATCTAAAATTTTAAAGTACATTTATTTAAACAAAAAAATCAAAATTTACTGGTTTGAAAATTATAGAAGTAGTTTTTCTATGTAATGATTTGAATAAAATCAAAATTATTAATTACCTTAAAATTCAGACTCCATGAAATAGACATAGAGGGAAATACATTGTCATTAGGTTTCATTTTTCAGTTGATAGGAATATTGTTATATCTGTGAAGATCTCCTGTGATTGTTACAGGCTTTCTATTAAATTCCTTTATGTACTTGTAGTGTTCTTTTATTGTTTAGCACTCTCTATTAATGCATGCAGGCCCTTTAAATGTATCCCAGTGCCCGCTTTTTCCCCCCTTTTAGTTAGTGTACAGTTTAGAGACCAAAAGGCCAATGATGTAATTCCTGGTGTGGAATTGAGACGTTGTTAGTGTAGTTTTGTTTAGTCACACCTACTGGAACTTCCAGGTCAAGTACTAGACACAGTTGACCTATTGTTAATAGTATAAATAAAGATGAACATAACTCTTACAAAGCCTGTTAGTAATTGAGCTAAAATAATACAGAATCGATTGCTGTCAGATAATAGAAATTCTGTTTCCAAAATGGACTCTAGCGTGATAACTGTTTTAAATGTCTATAAATATTAAAAGATCCAAAATAAGGGAACTGTAGTTTGCTAAAACTATTGTGTAACTTTTCATGTATAAAAATAAAATAGCCTCCTGTCTTATGAGTGGTTTCCTGTGGTGCTAACTTTAATGATTTTAGTTAAAGTTTCATAAAGAGAAATGAACATTTAAAACAACATGACTGAATGACTTGCAGAATAATTGTCAGGCTTAGGCATTCCTGTTTTGCTTGATAATCTTTATTTAGAATTGATGTTGTCAGCCCTGTGCTAATACAGTTTCTAACTCTACTTCTTAGTTGTATAAAAGGATTGTTTTAATGTTGGTAGGGAAGTTTAGAAGAAAGAATATTTTTATGTGCCAAGTTTAAATTCCACTGATCATACAGTAGTTCACACAAAACAAACCAAATAAATGTTTTATTATGATATGCTGGAAGAACGTTAGAAGTGTTGTTTTAAAGAGGGCATGAAAACAGAAGGTATACTATTATTAGACAAGAGAAAGAGAATAAGGGAAGAGGGGATGGGCAGGGAGGTAGTAAGGGGGATGCATATGATTAAACTATGTTATATGTATGTATTTTAAAAAGTGCTTTTAGGCATAAGCTTACCATTCAGGTGCCTGTCATTTTGTGGTCATCATAATATAAATGAGAAGTTAATATATGTTATGTACTTCTTGTATACATAACACATATTATCTTATTTAATTCTCACTATATCTGTGTCTTAATTACTTTTCTCTGCTGAGACAAAATACCTGAAACCCAAAGTTAAAGGGGGAATGGTTTATTTAGCTCTCAGTTTGTAGAGATTTCAGTCCATAGTCAGCTGGCTCCAAGGCAGGGTGGCATGGCAGAGGGGCATAGCAGAGGAGAAACAGTCCATGGCGGGCAGAAGGTAGCAAGGCAAATAAGAGAAAAGGCAAGCCTCTTTCTGTCCCTTATATTGTATTCAGGCTACCCGGATTCGGGCAGTGGCAAACCCATCAGTGGCCTGATTTAGTAATCACCCACCCTTAATCTTAGCATTGTGCTACGAATCAATCACACTCTAGACTCAGCCACCTCTGAAAAACCCCACCTATTACTGCATGAGGCTTTAGGGGGACATCTAGACACAAGCCATAACAATCTACAAGGTAGATTGAAATTTCCTTTCAGATTAGGCTGGGAGAGACAGGTGAGACTACAGGGTAGAAAAAACAGCCCTTTGCGTGCAGTGCCCGCAGTTCATATTGTTAGCAGCTTCCAGGAAATTCTGACACGTTTTCGTAGACACATGGTAAACTTCAGGCTACTTCCAGCTTTTCTGGGTAGGAGTTGCTGATTACACTGGGTGATCTAGAAGCAGATTCTCCCAGATTGCATAGCCTGGGTAAGATTTCCTGGTCCTTGTTCCAGCTTGGCTCAGTCTGCAGTTCCCTAACATGTCAGTTGTTCTCTGTCACCTGAGTCATTGGTGAGCACTTGCTCACTGTGTGCTTCATTGGTCGTGCGCTAAAAGCCTTTGGTAGCTCTTGGGGACATGCTCACAGTCTGCCTTTGGTCAGTTATGGGGCAACTGGAAGTTCTTAATGGCATGGGAACTTTGGTTTAGAAACTCGGACACCTGACATAAACCAGGGATGGGGAGGCCATGCATTTGACAGACGAAATGCAGCTCTCCAGACTCTGCACTTGGTCAGGAGTCCGATGGAGTAGGCATATTAAACAGCTCCTGTCAGTCCCATTTTCAGAAAGCTTCAATAGCTACCTGTCACGCTCAGGATAACACCCCAGGTGTCACTCACCTTCTCCCCTCCCTTGCTTACTCTGCTCTAGCCACACTTGCCTCTCGCTGTTCTTTAAAAGCTGATTTCAGTCCCTTATCCCACGCCCCTCTCCAACCAGTTCAGCCTCTTCTAGCCTGGTACCAGTGGAGGTAAACTTAGAAGAAGACACATTTAGGGTTTTCTAGTACATAGAATAGTAGAGGTCTCACTAGAAATTTTGTAGATTTAGCATTCCAAGTTTTTGTAATTCAAGTATAAGAAGGAGTGAAGATTTAGAGGTACAGACTGGCACAGCTAGAAACAAAAGAGAAAGGTTACAAGGAGAGATTTCTACCCAGTTGAATGAGCAATGTAATGAATAACTTGCACCAGTTACATCTGCGTGAAAACAGATGGAGCTGCTTCATAAGACAGGGAATTCTAGCCAGGCATGGGGGCGCAAGCCTGTAATCACCTACTCAGGAGGCAGGAAGACCATGGGTTTCTGAAAAAAGATGTCAGAAATTGATACAATGTCAGATTTGGAGAGTTTAGAAATGAACTCTTTCACCCTCCGTTTAGTACATTTACCCTCCACAGCATCCTTACAGCCAGCATTTGTACACTGGCAGCGATGGAGAGCTCACTTGTTTTTCCTTCAGTACTGGGTATTGAACCCAGGGCCTGGTGTATGCTTGGGTCCTCCCAAGCCTGACATTTTATCTATTTTTGGATTCTCAGTTTTTCTCAGAGTCCACTTCAAATTCTTCCTCTTATATTTGTCCTGGGAAGTTTTCAACATTAAAATACACAGCACCTCTAGGTGACAGCTTTCAGTTGTTGAGAAAAAAGAAACACCGCTCTCAAGGTTGATTTCTGGTCAGATTGGCTGCATCCTCATCTGAGGAATTTACTTTAAGGGATTTTCCTTATTTTATTTTATTTTTTTATTTTATTATTTTATTTTTTATTTTTTATTTTTTTATTTTTTGATTTTCCTTATTTTAAAAAAATATTTTTTTGTCTAAAATATGTATATACAGATTGTCTCATAGATTTTAGTTGTTAGATAAGGTTCACAGAGTCCCACATAAAAGGACATTCCGTTTGGAAATAGGCTTTGGTCAGTTTGCTAGAAATGAAAACTTCACCTCATCTGTGCTCTGATATCAGGAGTCCCTTGAAGGGGCAGTGACCATGTTTTGAATGTTTCTTTAGAGGCCGAGGCACCCCATTCCCTTTTCTTCTCTTAGAAAATGCAAAAATGTGGTATGTGGACAACTTTAAGTTGCAAGTAGTTTTAGTTAGACCTAAATGAAGTAATAGCCTACCATGCACATTCAGATTTCTTACAACTGCTGAAATATGGTCCTTGGAATTAATAATTCAGGACAGAATGGTTTTCAGGGTCTTCAAGCACTATTTGACCACTTCTGGAAACTGGGACCCCAATAACAGGGTGATACATTTAAAAGTTGATTCTGGCCCGACCCAGCTTTCGTCCTGCGTGTGTGTACCTGGCACCCCATATGAAGTCAGGGTTCCAATGAACATACTGTTCTGACTCTCCAAGAAAAGCCTGAGCTCCTGTCTTCACCTTAAATTTCTTCCTCTTTCTGTATCTTCTCTGGGTTTCTGACATTCCTTTCCCTTTCCTATTATACCTGTCTCTGTCCTTTAGATCTGATTCTGTATTCTTCCTAGTTGTTATCTTGACTTTACCTAAACAGAATTGTTGCTTGGACCCATCACATAGAGTATGGATTGTCTTCTGTGTAATATTTCTGTCTTGCCTGAGATACAGATCCTACTAAGAGGAAAGATATAATCCTCCTTGATTATAAAGGTGGCATAAGCATTACACATGTATCATGGTTCTTGATCTTTTACTCCTATGAAAATTGGATTGATTTTTGCACCTGGCCTTAGCAGGCAACTAAAATATCCACACATCTCTTAAAGCCAATAATGAATGGTTAATGAAGAGAGGGAAAAAGAAATTCTCAAATTCTCACTGCTATCTGTCATGTAACTACTAGAGCAGATTCAAGAATTAGGGATGAAATGAAAAAGGCTTTAACCACATACAGGTAGTTCAGATATTAATGTGTTGTATTTGGTTCACTTAGAGCCTCTACATTTACTCACTTGTTTTCCCTCTTAATGAT